AAAGGCTGTACCTTGGACTACAGGATGACTTGAGGCCTCAAAGTATTTTAGGTATTAATAATATTGATTAGAGTAACCAGAACAGATGTAGTACTACAGCGTAAGGAGTGCTACACAAGTCCCCACTATCTGTTTGTGGGACTTGTAGAAATTCTAGGACAGGACGTGTCTGATGCGAACTGAATTCGAGCGGAGATTGAACTCGAGCGACTTCACCCGTGGTTCAAGTCGTTCCACTTCTTCAACTCCGTCTTTCGCTCTCATTCTCGCTCCGATCTCCCGCTCCTTGTCGCTCACTCGCCCGTCCGCCGCACCACGAGACAGTGGACTGCCTGGGTGACAGAGCTCTGGCTGCGACGTCCGACATTCATTGCTAACTGGTAAGTGATGACGAACTTTCCCCGACACGTCACTCACATTCATACAGGAACACTCGGAAGGATATCTTATTCACTCAAATATTGAGCTTTGGTCGGTGGAGTGCGTCTGGGGTCAGGGTGAATCGGGTACGTGTATTGTAATATCATCATGGTCTATGCTCATGATCATGTGCAGAATGTGCTGTTTCATTGTGGCAGGCGGGCTCTAATAGGTGTGACTGCGACAGGTAGTTTGGTATTTACAAGATTATATGTACTGTATATACACAGTGTCTGTAGATAGCATTGCAATATATGCTTCATTTTCTTATTCATATTCAAGGAGCAAGAAAATCAAGCAGCTGTATGAAATGTGAAAGCCCGCTGGCCAGAAAACCCGCTTTCTCGTTGTCCAGCCCGGATGCCAGCTTGATGCCCGACTCCGACCTTGACTGGACATAGAGTCAAGTAGAGGCCAAGTTGATCCTCGGTTTTTATATCGAGTCGATGTCACGCGTAGGGCCTGGTGGGGTCTGGGGTCTGACCTTGCCGAAACCCTTTTTTAGACTGGGCGTGTAGTGGGCAGGAATGACGTTGTGGTTACGGCGGAAGATACCGTCATACTCTTGGCTGTTTCAGGAAGCCAGATAGTCGAGTATCACGATGGGGGTACGTTACATGTGTCTCAAAATTGTGAAGATACTAATTTGCTATGGCCGACTCTTTTGGACTTCACCCAGGACACTTTGTTCCCATCAAGACACGCTGGTTAACCTTGTTCTCTGACTATTTGGACCATCCAGAAGTCTTACTCCCATACCCCCGGCAGATCACAAGCCAACAGCGTGTGGACACCGTCCAAAGCAGCGACGAGGAGGCTCGTTGTGAGGGCTTGTGCACTCCCGAAGAGATTTGGCGGGACATTGTCTGTCGTGATAGCTATCCATTACACCCTACAGTTGTTATTGATCTATCCACTGATGCGGCACAATCGCTCGCGTACCATAATTTACCTGATCTATGTACTGCATGTATGATTAGTATGTCGTGACTCGGACTTCATATGTACAATAAGTATCCTGTTGGTACGTGCAGAAAGAGGAAATAGAAGGGAGCAAACAGATACAACAATGCAGCTAGCGCGACGCAGATAAATTACTAGTATCAAAGATCACAGCAACTTGAAAAGAAAGCATATGGAGTAAGAAGATCGGAGACATTGCGGCTACTTCCAACTGGGCTTGGTAGAACCAGAAGATCTCCCGGTGTCGCACATTGACTCACCATTACGGAGGGCTTCTTTCGAACGGAGTTGTCTGCTCGATGTACCGGTATCAAGCTCTTCCTCCCTTTTCTCGCGTCGTGTCCACACGCCCCCCGCCTTTGCTTTCGCTGTGTTCTCTGGCACATGCAACGCTTTCGAAGAGGAAGCACCTTTCTTAGTCGTCCCCACCTCTGAGCTGTGGCGAACACGAGTTTCCCCTTCAGGAGGTCGCGTATGACCAAGTTTGGTGTCAGCACCCGCCTTACGCAGAGGCGAATCAGGAGTCTTGGAAGCGAGATGCTTGGACTGCTTGGACGGTTTACGATGCTGAGGTGACGTACTGAGTTGACCTTTCTTTAACGTCTGCTTTGACGTTGGGACAGAGCTGACAGATCCAGACGCAGTGGCAGGCGCGACAGCGCTTGCTTTGGCAGGTAACTTCGACTTTGACTGGGAGACAGTCTCTTGGCTCGATTCCCCAGGGCCTGGACCAGGATGAACGACGCCTAACATCTGAGTTACGGGTCCAGCTCGAATACGCGGCTCTCCAGGAGCATTCTCTTCCACGGCTTGAAGTGCGGTTAGGCGGGAAGCGCTGCCTGTATAGCGGGAGCTTGACTGCTTATTTTCCGATGTATGAGTGTCATAGCGCAAGACCATGCCTGATCCTGGTCCTGATCCGGAACCTATTCCTGACATTCCCATAGATCTGGGAGGATCGATAGATACGGGACGGGTCCGATCACGGCTCGAGGTATACCATGAGGCCCTTTGCGACAGGGTAATGCCGGTCTCTGTATTGTCCTCTGTTCTGGGTCTACCGGCGGGTTTGAAGTTTTTGGCACCGTCGTTGCTCGGCCACTGGCTTCTATCTTCTAGAGCGTCCTCGATGGCCTTTAAAAACGATTCATGTGAAAGCCTGTCCTTTAACTCCTTCTCCGCTTCCTGGCGCAGTAAAGCCTTGATCTCCGGATCCCGAATGTATTTGGTGTATACCGAAATCGCAGCTTGGCAAGGCAATTCGTAAGCGGGACATTACCCTGAACTTCGACCTTTCCGAGAGTGAGGAATATCATCTTGCCGCCTCCCTTCGGAGTATCGAATATTTCGGTGACGCAGTCCTTTCCTGGCCGCGGGGTACCGTACTCCGTGATGGTTACCCAAGAGTTGGTGTGCCGAAGAACGGTCCAAAGAACTGTCCAAAAGACGGACTCCAGATCATGCCATGATTTGTGGTCACTCTGGTTCTCTTGTAGTCGCTCAATTGACAGGAATTGGATAGTCCCCTATATAATGTTTATTAATCAAGTACCAGGGCAACGAAAGCAGGCATTCGCACCGTAAGGTACTTCAGTTCTTTCTTCGACATCTCCGGAATAAATGCCAATTCCGGATCAATCACAAAACCCTTCGCGCCATTCTCCTTCACCGGATCAATGCTGATCATGATATTGTTTGCGCTTATATCTCGATGAAGGATACCTAGTTTTGCCAAGTCATGCAGGCCTATAACGCGGACCATCATTACAAAGGCTCACAGAGTAATCCATAAAGACAGACCTTTAACAACATCACGTATAGCCTCAAGTAATTGATATGTCGAGCTGAAACTTGAAAGAGGTTTGCCGACGGAGTTCAAGATACACCTGTGGTGAATTCGGTGTTGTGAGGGCCCAATGTTCAGGGCATCGACGAGACGATGCGCCAACGTTCGATGGGGATACCCTTGTTCGTCCACGTCGAAACCATTCTTGTGCCTTGCTATGCCTGGTATTTCGCCTAATTTCTTGCGGATATAGTCATATATCCTCGTCTCCGACCATCGTCCTGCGTCACGCCAGCCATCTTTGATGATCACAAATTCATCTGTTGGTCCTTCTGCCCTTATCGCCAACCAAACGCGTGTGCCGCGACCAAAATTGGATTCCGAAGCGAAGACGGGACGGCCGATGGTGAGATATCTTTCCTGTTTGGAGGAATCCGAGCCCGGGACCAAGACAATGCTACTTTCACTCGGCAGGTCTGTGGAAAGAGTAGCAGCCGGATAGTCCCTGCCTTTCAGGAGGCCAAGCTCCTGGATCTTTCTCCAAGCCATGCATACATTCGAAGCTTCAGTCGTATCAAGCTGATGGAGTGCGGTGGCGTCTAGACCACCAGTTCGGTAGTTTGCCAGCCCGTCCAAAAACTTCACCAATGGCGCAGGGTTTGACTTATATTTAAAGCTCTCGGAGGCCAATACTCCAGAGCGGTCCCAGAGAAAGAACCGCGCCTTCTCTCCAAATACCCCTGCTGCCACATAAAAGCAGCGCGATGTCATCTTTTGAGCGATGCCAGCGTACTCGGTGATTTGATTCCAAACATCGACGTTGCGGAGACTGGCCTTCCTGTCGGTCAGATGCAAGGGGTCGTCATTTTCGTCCCGTTTGACCTCAATGAAGCTAATTCCATAAGCCCAGGACGGCAAGGAACGCGTGTAAGTCGTATGAAAGATGATATCGGGAGATAACTTGAGGCCCTCGTCCAGGAAGTTGATCATGTTGTCCGCGCCGATGCTCGGCTCGAGCGAACCCTCTCCGCGGACACCGCGACATATGGCGCTCAGTGCTAGTTGCTGTACAAAGCATCAGAGATTCAAGCAAATGGAACAGGCAAGACAGTGCGTACCAGTGGCTTGTACATTTCTTTCTCAAGCACGCCCGGACCAACGGGTACCCCCTTTAAGGTGCTTTTGTAGTACTCAAAACCCGTTGCATCAACCTTGGTAGCTGTCAAGCCGGGGAAAGCCAGATCAAAGAATTCATCCATAGGCGCCAGGCCGTAGAAGTGGTTTGCTGCCTCTCTACCCGCCCAGCGGCGGTGCGCACCACCCTCAGGCTGGCCGGACTGGAACTGCCAACGAGAGCTCAGCGGTTTCAAGTGAGGGAGATGGAGCGCAGAAGGAGGAATAGACATGTCGTGCGGTGTGGCAGTGGTATGTGTGTGTAAGTTCAGGAATACTTACCGAGGCGTACTTGGAACGGCTCGAATTTATAGTGTCGTCGCGCATGTTTGTTGTAGTTTGTGTGGCAGACGCGCTTCCTGTGTTCTTTGTGGCCAGAAATCACTGCGGTTGCCAGCGAGTTGCACTGCGGAGCGAGAACAATGGCAGGAGCAGAGAACGCGTGGAGATGGAATTAGCCGTGACGTTGCGCGTATCATGTCACGTGCAATTGCGGTCACACTTTCCTCAGGCCACAATCTCGTCTCTCAGGACGGTTGCAAGCTATGAGGTCGTACTTATTCAACGTTTTTAACAGATAAGTTGTCAATTCTAGATTGACATAATTGTGATCTTGACAAAACCAAACATTCACGATGGCTCACGTGCGAAGGTTCACATGCAAAGAGTACCAAATTACAACAACGGAGGGATATGTGGCAAATGCATGAAAGACCACGTTGGGAAGAAGGCAAATCAAATTAATTAGGCATGTTTTGTGACCAGTTAATGTGGCCCATTATGAGGACGTGGCCGTCCGACCGTCGGAAACCTCGCGACT